GCCACTGCATCCCTTGCTAATTTTTAGAGTATAATAAAATAAGAAATATTATCAATGCATGGTGACGAGTTATGTGTTTCCATTACCAGGATCATGACTCCAATCTATCAGCACATCTTGGTCTTAGAATTTGCCATCACAGAGATCAACAGAGATCCCCTTATTTTACGCAATCGCACCCTTGGTTTTCAGATCTTTAACACCTACTTCATGACAAGTTGGACATATCAGGCCTCTCTGGAACTTTTCTCTACAAAGGGCCAGTTTCTTACTAACTACAACTGTGATACACAGCACAGACCAATAGCAGTCCTTGGAGGACCTACTTCTGATGTGTGTGTACACATGGCTACCATCCTGTCCCTGTACAAGATGCCACAGGTATGAGGTTTGGTAGAACTCAGACCAAGTAGATAATCATCAATGTCCTGTTCCTTGCTTTAAATGGGAACATTTAGGATATAGGAAGAAAAGGGTTGTTCTTGAAATAAGAGATTATTCTTAACAAAACTAAGAATTTCTGGGTGCTACAAAGGAATTCAGCTATGATGACCTAATGTCCCCATGACTCTTCTGATGTTTTATTGCTTGAAAAATCTAAAGGATTAAGCAGGGTTGTATGCCTTCCCTAGAATTAACTCTCCATTAAAACCATATTTAAGAGAAACAATATCTAAAATATACAGTATTCTCAGAACTATAAAACTGAAAAGTACTTTATGGGGTACCTATCAATTTACAATTTCTGTTTCCTTTAATGGTATTGAAGGAAAAGAAGAACAGGATTAATTGGGGAAAATGAGTTATAGAATAGGCAGAAATTGGGGCAATAGAGTTGGAAAAAAATAGATTAATTGTAATGGAATTTTACATCAATCTATTGCAATCAATCCATCAATAAAAGCAATCAATCCATCAATCTAATGTAATTTAGGAGGAGAAATTCTTGTAAATTTTGTTATTGCTGCAATGAAAAAGTGGAAAGCCAAGCAGGTAAATGTTACAAACATTGTTTTAGTAATATAATACTCTTATATTATTTTATTTCCATGAAATACAACCTTTATGAGAAAGGCAATGTGTTTTTCATCAAATTTACTAATGGGAACGTGAGAATAATGACTTTTTAATCTCCTCCTAGGACAGGGGTCAGAAACCCGCGGTTCTGGAACCGCATGTGGCTCTTTCATCATCTTGCTGTGGCTCCCTGTTGCCAGTTGGTGCCACAATTTTGAGAGGAGTTTCCAGTTGGGAAGGGGGAAAGCACAGTGTGCCAGGAGGAGACTCTATCGCAAGGAGCAGGTTTTATGGTCAGCTCCACAATTGATAGGACTTTCGGTTAGGATGGGTAGAGGAAAAAGGATACTGAGCTAGGAGGAGACTCTATGGTGGGGGAACTGGACTTCTGGTTGGCTCCAGAATTGAATGGGGGGGGGCTTCCAGTTAGGACCTTTGTGGCTATTTGAGTGTTTAAGGTTTCAACCCCTGTCCCAGGAGACTCTGAATGTGCATGTAAAATATACCTTTAGTCAAAATATGAAACATCTGTTGAACATTAATATGTATGTTATAGTAGTTTAAATGGGTGAATAATACCATTTCAATCTAAGGAAGAAGAGGATAAGTGTCCTGTTGAATCTTGCCATGTTGTCTTTTTCTTTTTTAAGTTAATCTATGGTTCTACTACTGAAGGTAATACAAAAAAGGAGACTGCCATACGGCAACAAATGTTCCCAAACATAGATGGTCAATATAAGGGAATTCTTTTATTACTTCTGCATTTTGGATGGACATGGATTGGGATCTTGTCCGCAAAAGATGACAGCGGTGAGAACTTTGTACAAAATGTGGTTCCCATGATAGCCCAGAAGGGGATCTGCTCAGCCTTCCTTGAAATATTTCCCGTCATTGATTATTCAAACAGCATTCCTGAGCTGGTGGAAGTGGGACTTCAAATGTACATGGTGGTTATGAAAAGCACAGCTAATGTAGTATTAGTTCATGGTGAAATTTATGGAATCATAGTTCTGAGGCTTCTTTCCACTAATTTGAAAATTGAAGATGCACCATTATGGAGACAGGGTAAAATCTGGGTTATGACGGCTGAGATGGATTTCACCTCCCTTCCCTTTCTGAGGAATAGTGACCTAGTCTTCCTCCATGGTGCTCTGTCTTTTGCAATTCACACAGAGAAGATGTTAGGGTTCCAGCAATTTCTTGAGATGAGGAACCCTACCTTGGAAAAAGAAGATACTTTTATCAAGCTCTTCTGGGAAAGTGCTTTTGAATGTTCTTTCCCCACCTCTGTAATGGAGGAGGAAAGTGCGATTCCCTGCACTGGGAAGGAGAAACTGGCAGCTCTTCCCACATCTGTGTTTGAAATGGACATGACTGGCCACAGCTACAGCATCTACAATGCCATCCATGTAGTGGCACATGCTTTGCATGACTTCCATTCATCCATGATGGAATACAGAGCTAGGGGGCATGAAGTCAAACAGAAACATCTGGATCAAAAGTCATGGAAGGTAATCCTTAAGAGAATCAATTACTGGTGGCTCACAAAATCTACAACCTGAATCCTAAATCTCAATTAAATTCATTCTTCCAAGGGAAATGTAAGAGCGACCTTTCTTTTATTTTCTATTTTATTCTTTCGAGTGTTTGCATCCATGTTTGCATCCCAGCAATGTTTTAGTTGCTTTATTTTGCATTTGTTTGGTTTGGTTTATTAGATTTATATGCCGCCCTTCTCCCAAGGACTCAGGGTGGCATACAACATTAAAAGAAACACATAATACAAAAGTTAAAAAAATGTGTTTGTGTTCTAAGGGATGCATTATTTTAATGCTGATTTACCAGTGTGTATACTGTTAACAGTGTTCCATGTGCCTTTGTCATTTAGTCATGCTGGCCACATGGCCATGAAGATGTCTTCGGACAGTGCTGGCTCTTTGGCTTTGAAATGGAGATGAGCACTGCCTCCTAGTGTTGGGAACAACTAGCATATATGTGCAAAGGGAACCTTTACCTTTTTATACCATTATTGTATTACATTGCCTACTATTTTCCCTTAAACTTTGAAGAATATATTATTGAATGAGGGAATGAATGTTTTCACCTGGGAACCTGATTTCTTTCTTTCTTCTTTTCCATTGTAGCTAAACCAATTTATGAGAGAGGTCTCATTCAACAATAGTGCTGGACAAAAAATTTCTTTCAACCAAAATGGAGAATTGGAGACTGGATTTGATATTATGAATTGGGTCACGTTCCCCAATCTATCTTTTCTGAGAGTTAGAGTTGGAAGGATGGATCACATGGACTCCCACGAAGCATTGTTCACCATTGATGAGGCTGATATTGTATGGCCCATGAGATTTAACCAGGTGTGGTTAGTTCCATTTTAGCTGGTAGACAAGTAGCTTTCTGTCATTCCTCAAGTTATCTGAGCTTCAAGGTCCAACACAGGAATTAGATTCAGACGCAAAATATTTCAAACACTCCAAGATTACTAAATATTCTCCAGACCCATCTGGGAATGTTATACTCTGTCTCCGCTCTTGGATGGATTTTTATTCTGGGGACACATTGCTTGGAAACATGACAATAAAGATAACAGTGGTCTATCTAGCTTTTGAAAATAACCTACCTGTCTTTTAGTTGCTATTTAATGCTGTTTAGTACTGAAGGTTGTATGGTTGAGCACTTTGTTCAAATGAATTTGAATGTGCCAATTTTTAAAAACAAAAACATATTCTCCTTTTCTTCTTGACCAGGTCCGACCTCTATCTTTGTGTAATAGTAAGTGCCATTCAGGTTATACTAGAAGCAAGATAGAAGACAAACCATTTTGCTGCTATAATTGTCGACAATGTCCACATGGGAAGATTTCCAACCGAGATGGTGCGTTCTTACATATGATATATATGTAATACATACACACACACATACACCTCAATAAAACTGTGTCATAACAGCAATTAAAAGTCTAGATTAAAAGTTCCTGTTAACAGATGGAAAGAGTAGAAGGTAGCAAATTGTTCAGCATTCATGTCATTGAATGGATTTCAACCAGAGGTGATATTCAGCTGGTTCAGATCGGTTTGCCTGAACCAATAGTATATATTGCCCACCCACCCAGTCTCTATGCTGTACTATTTAGTCATGTTTTTGAGACCTGGCACATGCATGTGTAGGCACGGGGTAAACCAGTGATAACAAAATGTGAAACCCACCACTAATTTCCACAATGATACCAAATAATGTACCTTGGAGAAAAGGGTTTCCAAATAGGAAGTCTACTGCTTTTCATGTGTGATAAAACAGGTTTTTGTTCTTAACACATGGTGCTCAGTTTTTATTCTTTCAGTGCAATTTGTACATTATTGATTTTCTAGATATGGACGATTGCTTTCAGTGTCCAGAAGATCAATATGCAAATGTGAACCATGATTTGTGTCTTCCAAAGATTGCAACATTTTTGATGTATGAAGAAACATTGGGGATCACTTTGGCCAGTTCTGCTCTTTTCTTTTGTCTGGTGACAATTGGAATCCTTTGGATTTTTATTAAGCATCAGGACACTCCCATAGTCAAAGCCAACAACCGGAATCTCACCTATGTTCTCCTTATTGCTCTCTTCTTGTCTTTTCTCTGTTGTTTCTTATTCCTTGGGAAACCTGATAAGGTGACGTGTCTTCTTCGTCAAACTACTTTTGGGGTCATCTTCTCTGTGGCCATTTCTTGTGTCTTGGCCAAAACCATCATTGTGATTTTGGAATTCATGGCCACCAAGCCTGGGTCTAAGATGACTAGATGGGTGGGAAATAGATTAGCAGTATCCATCCTATTGTGCTGCACCTCGCTTCAAGGATTTATTTGCGTTATATGGCTGGCAACCTCTCCCCCATTCCCAGATGCTGACATGAGTTCAGGGGCAGAAGAAATCTTTCTGGAGTGTAATGAAGGATCAGTCTTCATGTTCTACTGTGTCTTGAGCTACATGGGTTTCCTTGCCATTATTAGCTTTACAGTGGCATTCCTAGCAAGAAAACTGCCTGATGTTTTCAATGAAGCTAAGTTTATTACCTTCAGCATGTTGGTCTTCTGCAGTGTCTGGTTGTC